GACTCTGGGCTGCCTACTTGTCAGCACCAGGGAATCAGTTCACCATGGAGGTAGAGACAAGCTGGTGCCTGGCTGCATCCAGGGTGGAGCCTGCAGCCCAGGGCAGCAGAGTTCCCAGTGCTAACAGAAGGCATGCCTTACACATACCAGTGCCCCAAGCTGCCACAGGGGATGTGTAACTGCCAAACTGCTCTGAAGCACTGATGTATGTCCAGGGCTTCCCCAGCTACCAATAGTCAGCAAGTCCTCAGCATTCAGGATGCCTGGTCCACAGCCACGTACTACTGCCGTGACACCCAGATGGTCCTCAGGCTTCTCCCAGGGCCCATGTTCTTGTCCTCACTATCCTCAGAAGACACCATGGGGTTCTTTCTAGGACAGTTTCCAGGACAGAACCCAAGTAGCAGACTGCAAAGGAAAACTGGAAGCAAGCCTGACTGTAGCCCCGCTATCGGCATCTCCTTAAGGGCCAGCTACAACAGGCAGGCCAGCATATGGGCACTGTCAGCCAAGTGTGGGGGCAGGTTGTGCTGTAACAATCAGTCCCTTAGCACCTTGGTGGTGCTGGACATATGGGGCAGAGATGAGAGCCTCATGCTTACAACCAAGACAAGGCAGTATGTGCTGTGCGGGGCCAGTGGGGAGCCATGTGTGAGAGGTTTTGTGTCTCACCGCAGTGGGAGGCACCAGCTGGTTGGGCAGATAGAGAAGGATTGAGAGGAAAGAACCATGAGGCTGAGCATAGGGACGAGGAGGCCCAGGAGATGCTGGACCATCTGAAGTGGCTGCAGATTGAAGAGAGGGTTCAATTCTGACCTTCCCCATCAGTGCGGGTCTGAGCTTGCCCTACCTGACACAGGGAGATGCGCTGCTGTAAGCCCAGCTGCCTGAAAACAGAATCAGATCCCCAGTCCCAGTGTCCCAGCGGTGCCGCACAGCAGTGCTGCCCTTCTAACCCAGTTGAGGGGTGGTCTGGCAGGCTCATGCTGGGCATGGCACTGTCAGGCTCCAGGCAGCTGAGAGGCGGAACAAGGATCTATTTTGGTGTGTCCCCTTGGTATCCGTTTCACTCCCACCCAGTTGTACCTTCTTCAGAAACCAGAGCAGATCATTAGCAATCCCTTGCAGATGAGGTTGCCTTCTATGATTTTCTTATCTGTGGGTCTGAAGATGGTTGACAAACCAATCCGGGATTGACAGACTATTTTGCAACTTGCTCACATGTGCAGGTTGACTGACTCTTCATTCTTGATTCAATGTGCAACACGCTGTTTCTGCCACTGCCGCTTTTCTGCCTCCTCTGGTCATCATAAGGTTTCAAAGTCCTGATATTCTTGAAGCAGATTCTTCCTCCATTTGGGGTGATCCTGGGCAACAGTCTCCCACGAGTTGATGTCCATGTTGAGTTTTTTTTTAACTTGGTCTTGAGGATGTCCTGAAGCAGTTTCTTTGCCCTCCTCTTGAGCAGACACCTTGACTGAGATGGGAGAATAAAACTTGATTCAGGAATCTGGATTTGAACATCTGGATTATATGGCTAGCCCAGAAAAGTTGATGTCGGATGATCATTGGATGCTTATTTGCTTGCAAGAGGACATTTATGTTGCTGTGTCTGTTTCCTACTGGATTCAAAGCACCATCTGCAGGCAGCACTGATGATACTTCTGCAGAGACTTAAGGTGTCTCCTGATCATTGTCCAGGTCTCATCTCCATAAAATAAAACACAGATCACTAATGCTCAATAAACCATGAGCTTTGTTTTGAACCTGATGTTGCAATCTTCACACATCTGTTTCCTCGGGCATCTGAAGGCTGCATGTTTTAGGCAATGTTGGACTTCTTCACCAATGCCAGCCTTCTGCAAGAGACAGCTTCACAATATATGGGAAATACCCAACATTTTTCAGAGCAGAGGCAGGATCAGCAAAGGAAAATCCAGGCAGAGATTAAACATATTAAAAATGAAAACCAGAAGCTCAAGGAGGAGCAACTGGAGCAGGAGATGATGGCTGAGCAGCTGACCCTGGAGTACCAGACATAGAAAATGGTACAGTTCAAGGGCAGAGGCAGAGGCAGAGGCAGGGACCTGCTGAGCCTGAGTGGTGGCTGGAATGATGTACTCTGGTCTTAGTGTCTCTGGACCTAGAGGACAGCGTTAGAGAGAACCCCATATGCTGATGGGTGCAGGCAGGCACACACCTCTGCATGGAGCAGGGGTCCTGCTTCAGGACCTTTGTGCAGCATAGGTAGGATGTGGAGTGTCAGACCTGTACTGTGCAGCTCTGGATGAACTTAAGGAGCACAAGCTGTTGTGGAGATGATGGGTCTTGGTCAGATGTGTCTGCAGGAGGGGTGGTGCAGCACTCCCTGGAAGGAAGGTCATAGCCCTGCCAGCCTGCAACTGGGCAGGACAGTCATTGTCTATGCATGGGGCTGGGCTGGCACCTGTCACTGGCCCTGGCATCACCCCCTGAGTACAGCAGGACCAGACTGAGAAGGAGCAGAAGCAGCCAGAGGAAAGGGTAGCCCAGCAGATGAGGCACACAAATGAGGTGTGGTGCCAGGTATGAGACCATCAGCAGAAGCTGGTGCAGGATCAAGCTGCCATCTTCAAGAGGGCAAGTGGCTGGAGAAGGAGGCACACTGGAACAGTGAGTGCTGTCTCTTCTTTTGCTGCTCCTTCATCAGATCCTGGGGCAGGCTGAGGCCCTGGGATTTTAAGGGTGGGAATGGAGTGGGGCAGTGGGCTGAGGAAGTGGGCTGGGAAGGGCAGAGCAGCTGGAGCAGGGTTGTCCAGGCCAGTGGTGGGAGCTGGTTACAAGGGCTGGAGCCGTTCACTTCACCGTGTGTTGCCGTGAGCTGCCCTTTCTGCCCCAGCTGCTCTGAGTCACCCTTCTGCCCCTACACACTCTCCAGCTCATTGGGGGCTGAATATTCCTGTGGGCACAAAGCTGGAAGCTGAGTCCATCCACCTGGGGTCAGCCATTGCCTTCAGACCACACAAGTGGGCCAGGGCGTAGGGCATGAGTATGCACATCTGGCTGGGCAGAGTTGGGGGAGAAGTCCCCTGCTGCGTGCCCTGGCTGAGCAGAGCTGGGGGGACAGTGCCTGGGCCAGGTGATGGGACTCTGAGTTATAACCTCAACAGCCCTGGCCTAGAGGTGTGCAGAGCCCAGTTATCCATCTGCAAGTCCTGGTGCTGGGCTGGCAATCCAGAACCCATGCAGTTCAGCGCATGCCTTGTTCAGTGACTGAGCAGTTAATTATACAATTAATTAGTATGTAATTAAATTAGAACATATTAGGCCATTTTAGGGTGTGGCCATTGAAAGAGCAGAGTTCTCCCAAGGGGAAACATGATACCAGTTGCTCTTCCCAGGACCCAGGACTGCTTCTTTGTGAAGCAAAGGGCAGGAGCTCCAGTGCTGGGCCTTGGATCAGCAAACAGTAGCAAGAGCCCTTTCTGCTTCCCCATGGCCTGCTGGGGCATTGCTCAACAGGGGGAGACTGGGCCCCAGGGCAGCTTCTGCTAAACATCTGCTGTCTTTCTTTATCTTCCCAAAGTGGAGGCAAACAACAGTACAGGAAGCCTTACTTGGAGTCCACCTCATGGCTGACTGGTGGTGACCTAGGCCCCCTCTACCTGGTACTCCCCGGAGTCCGTTCCTCCCCTTTATCTTCTGCCACCAGCATGACCTTGAAGTCAGGCAGTGGCCTGCTTTGTCCCGATGGCCTCAGTCAGCACCTACCATGGCCACAACATAGACCAAGATGGACCCAGAGAGTCATAGTGGATGGGTCGGTATCAACCTGGAAGGGTGTGGGCAGTGGGGTCCCGCAGGGCTCGGTCCTGGGACTGATACTCTTCAATGTCTTCATCAGCGACTTGGACAAGGGAGTGAAGTGTACTCTGTCCAAGTTTGTGGATGACACAAAACTGTGGGGAGAAGTGGACACACTCGAGGGTAGGGAGCAACAAGCAGACCTGGACAGGTTGGACAAATGGGCAGAAAACAACAGAATGCAATTCAACAAGGAGAAATGCAAAGTGCTGCACCTAGGGAGGAAAAATGTCCAGCATACCTACTGCCTAGGAAATGACCTGCTTGGTGGCACGGAAGCGGAAAGGGATCTTGGAGTCCTAGTGGATTCCAAGATGAACATGAGTCGTCAGTGTGACAAAGTCATCAGAAAAACTAATGGCACTTTATCGTGCATCAGCAGATGCATGGCGAACAGAACCAAGGAGGTGATACTTCCCCTCTATCAGGCGCTGGTCAGACCGCAGTTGGAGTACTGCGTGCAATTTTGGGCGCCACACTTCAAGAGGGATGCGGATAACCTGGAGAGGGTCCAGAGCAGGGCCACTCGTATGGTTAAGGGTTTGCAGGCCAAGCCCTATGAGGAGAGACTAGGGCACCTGGACCTCTTCAGTGTCCGCAAGAGAAGGTTGAGAGGCGACCTTGTGGCTGCCTATAAGTTCATCATGGGGGCACAGAAGGGAATTGGTGAGGTTTTACTCACCAAGGCGCCCCTGGGGGTTACAAGAAATAATGGCCACAAGCTAGCAGACAGCAGATTTAGACTAGACATTAGGAAGAACTTCTTCACAGTTAGAGTGGCCAAAGTCTGGAACGGGCACTCTTTCCTGCCTATGCAGGGGGTCGGACTTGAAGATGTATTGAGATCCCTTCGGACCCTAACATCTATGAGTCTATAAGATTCACTTGTGAAGTCACAAGCCCAAGTCTTTTGTTCCCTGATCTGGTGAGTCCTCAGCCTGTTGCTAACATGTTTCCTGTTCTTCCCTTATCTTACGGTAGAAGGACTAGAGGGAAACATCCCACAAAGCTGGGATGTGTCATCCCTAGGACCAAGATTGCCCTCCCTATAGCACCAAGCTTATCCCAAATAAATAATTGAATATGGGACATGGCTGGGGACAATGGTTGGTACCATATGACAAGGAGGATGTGGCTGTGGAAAAGACTGAATCTGAGGTGGGGGAAAATGTCCATTGTTTCATATTACCAAATGGGGAGGCCGGGATAATCTTCCTCCCCAAATACTGAAAGATCTGTGCATGGAATGAATGCCACATGTGCTTGCTAAACTAGTCCCCATGGGGACAGCACTGCACAGTGAGTGAGAACCAAATGCAGTCCCTGTGTACAAGGAAAGGAAAAAGGGAACTTTGCTTCAATCACTGGCAGAACTAGTAGTGATATTGCACCCATAAAACGATCTCATGGCACCTGTGTGTATTGCAGCCCTTGCTTAAGAATCACGACACTAACTCTTGATTTCCTTGCCTGCTGTCCTCCCATCAGTCCATATTTGTATGAATTTTAGCCATATTTTTCCAGATTTGCATAATTTGTTCCCCCTGACCATAAACCTCTGGTGGCAGCTTTCAGGTGTGTGAAAGATACTTTCAGTTTTAGAAAACTGAAAGGACACAGATTTTTACCAATAAAGAAGAAGAAGAAAGTGGTTGGACACTGGATTTGTTGAAACCCTTCAAAAATTCCACTTTGGAGAGTTTGTGGCAGTGCTGGTGCTGCTAAAGGAAGCAAATGCTTTCTTTTCCTTCAAGAAGCTCTTTTTCCTGAGAAAACATTTGAAAGAGAAATTCCTAGCCGACTCCAAGCAATAGCTGAAGGGGCTGGCTGTGAAATCCCTTCCCCTCCCATTCACACACGAGTGAAGAAAGGGCCCCACTAGCCTTCTGCACAAAAATAGATGCTCCCTTTGTAGCTGGTGGAGCATGGCAGTGACAAAGCAAATCAGCTCCATGTGGGGTGAGCGGCATTGCACAGCTCCCCATGCTGTCCCTGCTTGACCTTGCACCTGCTGGGCTGGCATACAACAGGCTGGCCCCTAGGAGGGGATACCCTGCCTGTTGGCAGTAGCTGAGGTTCTGCCTGTTTAGAAACCCGCTTTGGTTTGTAGCATGAAAACAGCCACATTGGGTCCTCACCCAGAACTAGCACTGCATCCTCCCCTACAACTCCTGGTTACTGGGGCTGAGGCTTTTTGAGTTATGGAGCCTCTGCAGAGACATCGACCTCCCAGTGACCCGCTGAGCAGGATGGTCCCTCCATCATGGTGCCAGGGCCAGGTGAGCTGTAGTGCGGAAGGAATGTGTGTGCCTGGCCCTGCGTGGATGCACCTGGTGGGAAAGCTTAGCACGTGTGCAGGTGTGTGCAGGATCGGGTCCCTGGGTGCGAGACATAGTGGGGGACAGGATGCATGTGTGCAACAGGTTGCCCACTGAGGCCCAGGATCCTGACTGAAGAAGTTTCATCCCTGCTGCAATGAATGGGAATGAAATGAATGAATGGGCTTCATGAATGTCAATGGGGATCTGAAGGAAGAGGGTCATCTGATGGGAGAGCAATTCCTCAGGGGCTGCAGCCCAGGACCCAGTCTGCAAGTGGGAGGATTGTGGGATTTGACCTCAGGAGAGAGAGAGAGGCAAGAGGCCTGAGACACAAGGAGGAGCACTCAGAGAAACCAGAATGGAGACAGAGGTGCAGCCAGCTCATAATCATTACAGATGCTTCCCTTTTCATGAATTTTAACAGGTACCTAATGTGGCAGAAATGCCCCGTCAGTGCCCCTCTCCAGAGATCTGTCTCAGCCAGCCTCAGACTGGCATATTAGTAAAGCTTCTATTTTTTTTAACTGGAGAAAAATGTGTTGTGTTACACGTGAAGATGCCCCCCACCATCTGCAACTCTCTTTTCAAAATCCTAGCTCTGCCCAGAAGAGCTGGCAGGATGGGCTTAGGAGGCCGCACAACAGGCTGGCCCCTACCACGCTGTACAGGGCAGGAGCTCGGACTGCCCTTCCTGCAGGTGGCTCGTATCATGGCTGTGTTTCAGACCTTGCAGCCCACTGTGCCCATTCTCTCCTAATCCCACAACCCTCTGGTCTGGCCAAGCCCTCACAATTCATGAACCCAGCAACTGTGAGGAGCTCTGGAGTGAGCTGAATGGGCCAGGGCCCCCGGTCAGATCAGCACGGGTGCAGGGGGTGTTCTTTGCTGGGGGGGGTCTGTCTTCTATCTGCCTGAGGGCTGCTGAGCATGTTTGAACCAGCTCCTCCATTGCCTTGTCTAAGAGGGTTCACACAGGGCTGATCCTGCCCTGAGCAGGGGCTGGACTAGACAAGCCCTCCTGAGGGCCCTGCCAGCCCGGCTCTGTTGGGACTCGCTGATCTGCTCAGGGTCCACCCCCGGCTGGCTGCAGACCCTGAAACTCTGGGCCCACGGCTCCTTGTGCCCATCCAAGCCTTCAGCCAGCGTCTGCCCGTGGACAGGAGGAGAAGGACCCGCTTGGTGTTAACCGTGGGGGCAGAACCAGATGGGG